ATAAGTTCTTTAGAATAAAAATTTTTATTGAATATTGTATTCCATCAAGAACTGTTTTCATTGATGGAATATGTTACAAATGGGAATTTTGTTTTATTGTTATTTGGATAAAATTTCTCAGAATTAGAAATTTTATCAAATAACTTTAAAATTACATCAAAATTCTCATAAATAATAAGGATATAATGTATAGAAATATAAAATAAAGGTAAAAAAAATATAAATTCTAGAATATATAAAATTTTTATATTATTTATATCTAAATTATTATATTGCTTACTCATTTTTAATAGCCTAAAAGGATAAATAAAAATTGAATAAAATAATATTCCAAATTTAATATTTAAAAAATAAAAAAAAACTAAACTAACTAACAATATAAAAATTATTGTAATTTTTTTATTAAAAAAAAAATTACAATAATTTAAAATATGAAATTCAAAATTTCAAATAAAAAATTCTTTTAATTTTTTTATTGCTAATAATTGGAATATAATTAAAAAAAATAAAGATATTCAATTATTAGTTAGAATAAAAAATAAAAATAATAAAAAAATTAATATATTAATTAATAAATAAAAAATTTTATTTATATATTTTGTTATTTTTATTAAAATAAAATTTTTATATTTTATAGAAAAACAAATAATATTTCTATAAATTAATTTTATTATTTTTTTTATTTTTTTAGACAAATTAAAGAATTTATATTTTATTTTAATAAATTTATGGCTATTTATAATGTTAATTAGTTTTATTTTTATTTTTACTATTATAATTAAATTATTTTTTATTCCTAGGATCCCCAATAATATACTATTATAAAAAGGAGTAATCACACGACATCGACAAAATGCCAGTACAAAACACCTAATTCAAATTCAATGCTATGTATTTCAGTAAAATGTCCAGCAAAAATTCTAAATAAAGCAATAATTAAGAAAGTATTACCCATTAAAACATGAATAGCATGTAATCCAGTAAGACAATAAAATATATTACTATAAACACCATCTGCAAAAGTAAATGGTGCATAATAATATTCAATAACTTGAACTGCAGAAAATATACAAGCTAATAATATAGTTAAACTTAATGATATTATTAAATTATTTTTATAACCTCGTATTAAAGCATAATGAGCTCAAGTTACAGTAGCACCAGATGATAACAATAGTATTGTATTAAATAAAGGTAAACCAAAAGGATTTATACTATCAATACCTTTAGGTGGTCAAGTACTACCTAATTCTATAGATGGGGCTAAAGCACAATGAAAATAAGTTCAAAATAAACAAAAAAAGACAAATACTTCAGAAAATAAAAAAATATAAAAAGCAATTTTTATACCTAATTGTACTTCTAATGTATGAAATCCTAAATAAGTACTTTCTATTATAATATCTTTTCATCATAAAATTAAACATAATAATAAAGTTATATTACCTATTATAAAAGTTATTGCATCAAATTCTTGAAATATTAATACTGCTCCTAATCCTGTTATAAATAATGCAGATGATGTCATAATAGGCCAAGGACTATTTTCAACTAAATGATATGGTTGAGGAAAATTAATTAATTTCATTTTTTTTAAATTTTAATATTTTTTATTAATATTTTATTATTTTTTAGAATATCTTTTAAATTGTATATATTATTATATTTTTAAAAAGGAAAATTATAATATCATATTAAATTGTATTATATAAATATTTTATACTTTTTAATATTTATTAATTTATAATTTATATAAATATATCTTATATATTTATATAATTATTTTTATTTTATTTTTTATTTTTTTTTTTAATTTATTATATTTTTATAATGGCTCATTATATATAAATTCTTATATAATTAAATAATATAAAGAGATAAAATTAATTTTTTGTCATATTTTTATTTCTATTTTATTATCTTATTCGTTTTGAATATAATCTCTTATAATTTTAAAAACCTCTTTATATACATAATTTTATTATTATTTTTATCTTATTTATTAAAAATATAATCATTTCTAAAATTTAGAAATGATTAAATGATTATATTTAATAAATTTTAATTTATAATATATTTTGTTTTTAATATATTAAATTCTTTTTAACAAGTTATCTACTTGTTCTTCAGATGGTGGTGATATACAACCTTTAAAAGGTTTTGATATAGCATGTTTTACACTTGATAGTCAGGCTCTAAATCCGTTTTCTCTACCAGATCATGCTATAAATTCAAGATTCTCTTCATTATTTCCTACTCAATGTAAATAATTATTTGAATCGGTTGTTTCTAAAACAATTGGCATACCTAAATGAAATACACCACATAATTCTGAACATTGCGAATTACATTTATTATTTTTAAATTATAAATAATATAAATAATAGCCTTTATATTCTTTACTATTTTAAAAATTATACCTATAATGTTTTGCTAATTTTTTAAAATAAAGAATATTATTAGTAATACTTTCAAAATAAATTATTTATTTTTTTTTTATTGTTACCTTTTATTAATATAGGTTTATTCTTTTTATAAATTTATAAAAAATTTTTAATCAATTTTAGATTTTTTATATATCTATTATTAATTATATTAGTTAAAAATTTTAATAAATAAAAAAGTTTTCAATTTTAATATACTTTGTAAAGAATTTCTTTTTTATATTAACTTAATTAATTTTTTATACAAAAGAATAAAATATAAAAATTAAAAATTTATCCTTATACACTATTACTTTGTTTAATTTCTAATATTACAGATAATTTTACCTATTAATATACTTTGTTTATTTAAAAGATCTACTAAATCATTAACTAATATATTACTCTAAATATTAATAAAAAATAACAAAAGAATACATTATTGTTCAAATAAAATATTTATATATTTAAATATTTTCTAAAAGTTTAACATTTATATAAATTTTAATTATTTTTAATTCTATTTTAAATTTAGCATAATAATAAAATATAACAAAAGTAATTATAAAAATATATACCTGTACCTTTAAATGATTTAGCATTAATTATTCTTAAAAAAAAAAAAAAATTATAGTTAAATTTTTTATTAGATAAAAATATTGTTTTAATATAAGAATATATTGACTATTAAATTTATAATAATCTAATAAATTTTTAACTTAAAAGCTTATAGTTATTATTTATTTAGATAAAATTTATCAAATAAATAAAAATTTGATTTTTATTAATAATTAATTAGGCATCTCAGTTAACGAGATGCAGAACCTATATATTGATAATAAATATATTTATGTATAAATATATATATAAAATGGTTTATATTTAGATTATAAAAAAAAAGATTCTAAAAATAAATATAAATTTTATACCTAAAATTAAAATAAATAAATAATAACTAAAATTAAAAAACCTAAATTAAAAATAAGGATAAGTAAATTATAACTTAAGATAAATTTTGATTAATAATTAATAGATTAATTATCATTTATATATTTTATAGTTAAAGATTCTGAATTATAAATAAAATATCTGATCATCTGATGATGGGTAAAATCTAGTTAAAAATTTATTAAATTATTTATAATATAAATGTTTATAAAATAAAGATTGTAATTAAATACAATAGTAAAAAATTCATAAATATATTTATAAAAAATAATTGATCTAATAGACCTATGTAAATTATTCCTAAACAATTAAAAATTTTTAATTGTTTATTTAATAGAAATTTTAAAATAAAATTATAAAAAAATTTCCTGTATCTTTTAAGATAGGATTTGACTATATCTTAAATATTATATTTCAAATATTAATCACCATTTAGTCGATGAACTGCATACCATTATAAAATTATTAATGGTATTTGGCTGCGGATTACCCATTAAATTATAAATCTTTCTTTTACCATACCACGAGTCATTACCTGTGCCTCGAGATATGTTACCATTCTCGATTGGTTAAGATTTCTTTAGGAAATTCCCGTCAATTTGATGATAAAAACAGTATGTTCAATACCATAATGGCCAATATTCTAACCAAAATAAACACCAAATCTATCAAAATTAGTTGTAATAGTATTTAATCTACCAGGTATTGAATCCATTTTAAAACCAGCTGAAGGTATAGTAAAACTATGTAAAACATCAGAAGATGAACAAATAAATTTTATTATATTACCTCCAGGAATCATTACATTATTATCTACCTCTAATAATCTAAATTGTCCTAATTCTAAATCTTCACTAGGAATCATAAATGAATCATAAGTTATATCATATTGATAATCAGGATATTCATAACTTCAATACCATTGATGAGCTAAAACTTTTACTGTTAAATCGGATTCTGTAATTTCATCAGTTAAATATATTAATTTAAAACTAGGTAAAGCTATATTAAATAATATAATTCCAGGTGAAATAGTTCAAATGATTTCAAGTCTATGACTATGATTATTATACTTTAAAGAAATGAATTTACCTATAAATATTAAAAATATTGATATAAATAATCAACCAATTAAAATTAATATGATTATTTCATAATAGTAAATTTTACCATTAAGTCAAATTATACCAGACATAGAATTTGTTGCACTATCTTGAAATGATAATTGTCATGGTTCTGGTGCATCATTAGAAAAAAAAAAAATTTTATTGAATTGTAACATTTATATTTATATATACGTTTATTTGTGATCGATTTTGTGACTGATTATTATTAATTTATAATATCTATATTTAAAGAAATATTATTATAAATTAATGTGGAGATAAAGAGAATTGAACTCTTACTTTAGCTTTGCAAAAACCATATACTACCATTTATATTATATCCCCTTATATTAATAATATTATTCGGCTTTGACCGTCTACGAAACGGCAACTTATTGTCTGACAAACAATGGCTTTCATTAAGCTACAAAGCCTTATACCACTAATCCGAATTGAACGGATAACTTCTCTTTGGAAGAGAGATAGTTTACCAATTAACCTATAATGGTTAGTAAATATTTTTTACGGATGGTGGGATTTGAACCCACACAGTAAGAAGTACTATTAAGATCTAAGTTTAATGTGTATACCATTCCACCACACCCGTTTTATAAATATTTTTGTTTTCCTTTTATATCTATAAAGGGAGAATTATTATTCTAGGTGTATATAGATTTTTCGATTATTCAACCACAGGTTCCCCTACGATTACTATGTTACGACTTAAAACCGATCATGAACGAAAAGTAACATATATAATTATATAAAATAAATATAATAAATTTTTGTTTGTTTTTTATTTTTTTGTTATATATTAATGATGTTTTCCATCCCATTTATTCTCGGTCCTTGACGGGCTATTAGTACACAATCTAGATTTTTGATTCACCGTAGCATTGTGATCCACGATTACTAGCAATTCCTACTTCAAATACTCGAGTTTCAGAGTCTTATCTGTACGTAGTTTAATTTATAGATTAACTCTATTTTTAAAATTTGTTACTTATTGTTTAAACTATTGTGGCACGTCTATAGCCCAATATATAAAGGTCATGATGACTTGACTTGGTCCTTCACATAGATTACTTTAAAATACTGAAACCAGTTACTCTCATCACCTAAATAGAATCCCAAATATTAAAAAAATATAATAAAATTTTTAATATAAATTATAACTAAAAGACAAATAATAATTAATTACATTCATTTTATTAATAAAATCTATTAATTAATAAAATTATTATATTATTTTTATGTTTTTATTTTTAAATTTTATTGTGTTTAAATTAAGTAAAAAAAAACTAAAAGGTAAAAAAAAAACTATCGTCTGTATTATTATTTTAAAATTTAAACCGGTTCTCATTGATAAACACTGTTTAAATTACAATATAGGTTTGTCTTGGACGCTTTATAAGGACTCGGTTTCACAAGACGGTCCTTCTTAATGAATAAGAGCAAAATTTTGATAAACATTAATTTGTCTTGACGGTTTATAAGGACTTGATTTCACAAGACGGTCCTTCTTAATTAATAAGAGCAAAAAATTATTAGTATTATTTATTTCCAATGATATGTTTGTCTTGGACGCTTTATGAGGACTTGATTTCACAAGACGGTCCTTCTTAATTAATAAGAGCTAAAATGTAAAATTCTACTTTTACTTTCTTTTTTTTTTAAATAAAATTACTATAAAAAGAACACTAAAAGGCGGGTTAAAAAAAAAATAGTAATTATTAGTAAGCATTTTCATATAGATTTTAATACTTTTAGAAATAATTTATATTTTTCAATTATTATTTTTTAAATATTTTTTTTATATTAGATGAGAGAGGTCGGAACTAAAAAATATAGATATAAATCAATATTATCAGGGTTTTGTTCGTTGGCAGGACTTAACTAAAACACTTGACAACACGAACTGAAGACAGCCATGTAACGCCTGTAACGAATAATAAATTAATTACTACCTGAATTTTAAATTAAACGGAGGAAAAAAAGAAATATTAATTTAGAATTTCTTTGCGGTAGTAAGCATCTCATCAAAATTATTAATCATAAAAAAATAAAATTTTTTTACTTAAAATCTAAAGATCATAGAGAGCCCTAATTTTCAAGTCGAACTTCTAGGCTAATATTGGTAAGATTCTTTGTGGACCATCAATTTAAACAACATGCTTCACTGCTGGTTTAGAAGACCGTCTATTCTTTTGGGTTTCAAGGTTGCCCTAGTACTCTCCAGGTAGAATGTTCAAAACGTAAATTAAAAAGTAATTATCATAATAATAATCACTAACATTCCTTGTTGAGGGTGTGGACTAATAGGGTATCTAATCCTTTTCGCTACCCACACTTTAGTTACTCAGCGTCAGTGTATAAATAGAAAAAAGCCTAAGCCGTTTAAAATTCTTTTAAATATTTAAAGATTCTATCCTTACATAAAAAATTCCAATTTCTTCTAAAACACTCAAGTAAAATAATATAATATTTTAAATTTTTAAACTTTTATTCCTTTAATTAAAATTAGTTATTTTACAGCCTAATCACTTTTTACACCAATTCATGAAGAATAACAGTTATCCGCCTCGGATTACCGCGACTGCTGGCACGAGATTAGTCAGGATAATTAAGATAATAACCTCATAATGATTTATCTTTTTAAAGAGCACAGTCTATTTCAACCGCAATTAATGTCGTACATTAAACTATTTAGCTGGAGCGATCTTGCGACCCTTGTCCAATATTCCTCACTGCTGGGGTTTTTAAGCCATGGTTCTTTTTTCATTACCATTGTGGTTGATCATCCTCTCAGATCAACTATGGATCTTAGGCTCTGTAAGCTGTTAATCTTACCGACTACCTAATCCAAATTCTAAGCTTATCCTAAAATCAACTAAGTTGTTTAAGTATTTAACTTTATTTTAGGGAAAAATCTTACTGTATTACTCACCCTTACGCTGCTTTTATTGCAAAACTAGCATGTGTTAAGCTAATAGTAACTGTTCATTCAGAGCCAAGATTAAACTCGTCTTTTCATATATTACAATTTATCTAATTATATATATATATATAAATATTCTTTTTTTGTGCGAATGATTGAATTGAACAATCTCCTTAAGATCATGAGCCTTATGTGCTACCTAAACACTTATTCGCATTTAATTTAAATTAAAAATTTTATCAATATACAATTTTCGCAATTTAAACAAAGTTTAAAATTCTTCTACACCATTATCTATAGTTTATCACATTTTGGATAATCGATGTTTCCTAATTATGATGATACGTAAAGAATTACGCTCTTAACTAAAGATTTAAACGGAGAATTAATATCCAATTTCTTTTTTATTAAAAAAAATTCATTAACTACAATGATCAGGGTCCTACGCTGCCCTTTGGAATAATTCCTTCTTCGGAAATTTTCTTTCCGAAGAGTCTTACGACTGAGAAATTATCTTGTCTTAATTTACGTAACATATTCCTGAAAATTAGAATAAGGATAAATTTGTTTTTTATTAATAAGAAACAAATTAAGAATTTAGTAAAATAAAGTTACTTGAATTTTAGTACTATATAGCGCATACCTTGCGATTATATTACTTATAGCCTATTACGCACTATTTTTGAGCGTATCTTTTTTTTTATAAGGAATTTCAATTGATAGATTTCCAACTTTATATGCTTTCAGTGGTTATTCTTTATTAATATAGCATTCCAGCCATCGAATAAATATATAATTATTGGAACTGGTACACCATAAATTAACTCTACTAATTCCTCTCGTACAATAGTTAAATTCAATATATTAATTCCTTTTCCATTAGAA